GGTTTGTTTACAATCACAGCATAGCATGTGTCGCAAGGTTTCTGCCTGCAATTTTTTATTTACACCAAGTAAGAAACATTCTGTGAGAATATGGTGCATCACGTCCTCCTCTGTTTGACCATGTGTTGCCCTCTAGGTCGCTTAAAGCTGTAAGCTCACGAGACTTATAATTCTCACAGGTACTTTGTACTGCAAATTCCCACAGCAAAGATCCTTCTCCAAAGGTTGTCTTCTTGGGCCTTCCATTTTGAAGAGCACTTTTCGTTGACGCTCGTATTCTTCCGTATGCGTGCTTCATGGCAGTCACTTTCAATTCATCAGTCAGACAGTAGGCTAAGGGATTAAAAATTCACTAATCTTTTAGCAGTAAGGTGGGTGAACAACAAACTGACCGTGGGTAGGGTTTACTTATATGGCTTCCACTATGACTCCTCTACCTGACTTTCAGGTCAAATAGTGACTCTATCGCTTATACTACGTAAATATTATCAAGAATTGTCCTTAGTAGGGAGGGTCCCTAATCAATTTCCTTGCTCATGATTAGAAATAGAGAAGAATCTCCCCATACCATAATGAACTAACTTTGAGGAAATTGCGATTAAATGTAATCACTTATCCAACTCCCTGGCAGGATCATATACTCTGCCGCCGCACCGTCGCCAAACAGGATTCAGTAAGTTCCAAGTCAAGATTCTATAACTGTTGAATAGAATTAAACCCATTTTGTCATGCAAATATGCTCAGGATCTAAAATCAAATAAAACAATGTAATTCAACAAGTCCTCAGGCCAACTAGAAACCCAGGCTTCAGAAGTTGTCGGACCAAATTCTTTGAATGGGATTCGGCAAAGGTGCGGCAGCAGAACTCGTTTATGGATAACCTGATTTTGATGATGAATCACTTCAGAGCAGCATTATGGGCTGTTGCGCATGTGTGTGGGTAAGGACAATGTCGGAAACCAGACTAGAACAAGTGAGAGATAAATGGTCAAATCCGGCAACTATGCCGCATGTGGATGCGTCTTCCTGAAGGACATCTGGACTGCCTCCGTGCTATTATTGGATTCCCGCAGCAACTCCTCTAGCCCACTCTGTCCTTGAAACCCGAAGTGGCGTCTGCTTGGCATTGACCAGACAGTGGACATCAATGCGTGCCCTAAGTGTGCAACGTCTCGAAAAGGGTAGAAAAGTGGGACCTAATGGAAACTTCTAAAGCCCCAAAACAGAAGCATTTTTGATGAGGCTGAACGCCTACCTAGCTGATGCATACAGCATGAAAGGAAGAAACAACTTGACTCCTGGCTAGAACAGGGAATCAGTTTAAGGCGGCTGTATCAGGAGGCCCCTGACTAAACAATTTCATTCCACCTCCATCAGATGAGAATGTGACGACAATTTCCAAGCGAGTGTGTTCTGCAAATGGTAACGGGTAGCACTAGGCTACATTAACCAACAATTTTTTTCACTTCGTTGACTAAATAAATGAGGCATCATTTGTGAATTTTTCAACTTGTGATGAGCAGTGCCCATTGTCTTCCAACACTAAACGAAAGAAATGTCGCTGCTGAATGTTGCTGCTGCATCTTTAGCACCGAAGCCAATCCACTTTGTGAAGTAGACAAGCAGAACTTCCTCATCTTGTGTCCTGGCGACGCTGTACCATTTGAGGGAAACAGAGGATGGATTGAGACTCATCGATGCTCCAACGATGCCACGGTCTTCACAGCCTCTCCGCTTTATGGGGAACTGTGCTGTCTTCCAGGCAATCTGATAAAATGGTGGATGCTTCAAGGATACTTCTAAATTGCCGTGCTTCCGCAGTAGATGGGAAGAAAACCCACTTTCTTCGTGACCATTCTAGGCTGCCTGTTTGATTATCTTCTGTGTTTGAAATCCTCCACAGCGGCACGGCGATACTTTGTGTGTTTGGATGAGTCCGCGTTATGATTTTGTGGGCACATGGTCGTCTACTTGGCATCTGGCTCATGCCGATAGCCTCGGCTGTTCTTTACATCATTAATATGCCTTTCAGCATGCTTTTATAACTATTTCCGCCTTCAAGGTAGGTTTGAAGTGCTATAACACCACCAGCCAAGTTAAACCCTCTGTTAAATCCTACGGGCAACCGTCTGGAATAATGGAATTCATGCCTTGGAAATATGTTGTTCAGCGAAATATAGGAGGTGATCGTTGAGGGCCAATGATAGGTCAGAATAGGTGTTTGAAGAGGCAATGACTTGTCTCTGTGATAAACCATCGAAAAATAACCTAATTTTGGCATTTGTCGGCCAGCCATAGCAGAGGCATACCATATATGTCGCCGCTCCCGAGACGTAGCCGCTACCTTCAGAGAGAGTCTGAGACATAAAAAACATTTCGTGAAGCTGTAACCCAACAGTGGTATAACCTATACCCTTGGGTCTCATCTGCGCAAATACTTGATGCTGTTTATTGCCGAAACTGCTAAAATATTTTGCGCTTTCTGGATGATGGTAAAGTTAATTTATCTCATGCATTTACTATGCAACCTAAATCCAGTCATCTCAGAGACGGTTTCAGTGCCATCAAGTAGAACACATTAGGTGAAGCATAAAACCATCGCCTTGCAAAGGGCTATTCACATACTCTTCTGCAATATATCTGACTGGATTCGGCGTGAAGGGACTTTTGTCCTTGCTACTGAAAGTGAATTCAGCGTACTTTCCTTCCCTGTTCTTCCTTTCAAATAAGAGTAGTGATTTTACAAAAGTGCAGTAAAAAGTAACAGAACAAATGTTTTTAGCTTACGAAAAAAGATAAAATGCATGAATACACAAGGAGGTGTAAGTGGGATGATCAAATTTCCCTCGGGATTTGCTAATCGAGCTGTTTTTTGCCTTCCCATTGTCTCCTTAAAAAGGTCAATGCTGTTTTTCGCCTCCTTCCAGCCTCTTTAGTTATTATCCGTTGGCTCTCTCAAACAAGATTTGGTAGTACATCGCTGCATTTATGGCCGACTAGTCGTTTGAAATAGGTTTGTCACAGTGATTAAATCCATCTGTCTACGGTTCCATGCGTGAGCGATATGTGCCTCTTTGCTGATGGAGATGTTTCTGAGCCTTGTTTAGAAGACGCTTCTACCAGTTGCAACTTACAAATATGTTTTGAATCAACCAATATCTTGGGGATGGCTGACTCTCCTGCTTTTTCTCTATTCCTACTTTTGATCATTTCTTTCCACAAGTTGTCACTCGTGACTTAAAATTACGTCCTCTCACAACGTGATCAACCACTCAAAACCAACCTCTTTAATGGTTAAGGATAATTGAACTTGCATACAACTGTTATTAACCACTGCTATTAACAACTTTCATTTATTTGGAAAGCGTAAATTTTAAAGCGATTCTTTTATGCAATGCCAAATAACCCGCTCTTTTGAACTGAAAGAGCAGAAGGTTTGATTTTAATTTCTCATTGCTCAAGAAGGTAAATAGTGAGAGTCCAAATGTAATGCGTTTTGCGAACAATCGGAGGAAGGTAGTCTGTTAGCGCAAAAGCAAAGGCGAGAGCCTGGAGGCAACAAAATAGTAACCCAAACCCAATAGTCTACACAGGGAAATATCGCTCTCTTCGGTACTCCACGTGGTTATTAATCTATTCCTGCTATCACAATCAACTAAAGAAGTTTATGCATTTTATGCAGTGCTATGGATTCGGGGTTCCCTTCTTCTCGTCAACTGCATGGCAGGGATCTGTTCCCTTGATACTGCTCAAGGCAGGTTGATGCTCCAGGATAAGTGCATCTTCTTTGCCAATCACTAATCGAGGATAAGCTGCCCGGAAGCAGAGCCATTCAAGTAGCCTAATAGATCTAGCATTCTGCATTCATCCTTACTTTGTTTTCATGCCAATTCAATTTCACCATTTTGCTGAGGCCCATTCTTCTACCTTGCATATGACGGGAGCATACTTCATGCATTTCGCATTTGTTGTTGGAAGATACACAGTTGTTATTTCCTAATCGTTCTAGTCTGGCATTGCTTAGGTTGTTTAATGTTAGCAACGGAGAAAGTGGGGTGTTACCAAATGTCCACTTGGCTTTGATGAGTCTTTTACTGTGAGCTGTGTCCATCAGATACCTTCCTTCTGTAACGTCTAGACATCAGAGGTGGGAAGCGGGAATGGAACTGTTGACATCCTTAATGGAAAGAAGAGATTAGCCAGCTTAATTTGGCATAAAATTATGCTTAAATTAAGACGTACATACCACTGACTATCTCATTCACTTACTTGCTGGTTTAAAAGTCCAGCTAGATATCTACTGGCCTCCCAAGCCTATATTTCACCAACTTCTTAGTCAGACCCTTTTTCCATCCCTGTTCTCTCCCACTGCGATGCACTTACAATTTCGTGAGTAGTTTGATCTTATCGTGATTCCTGTAATGCAACCCGTAGTTATGGAAAACATCGTTTCTCCCCAATGGTGCGTCTAATATTACCAAGCCCACACTTGTTAGTTCCACCTTTCTCGAAAGGTGTCATTTTAACAACGGGTTATGTTCACTTCGCCCACTCTTCTAATTCAGCCAGCCATCCAAAGTGAGAAATGATGCAAGAAACCTTCCCCATTTTGTGCACAGAGTGCACAGAAAAAAAATCACAATTACTTGTGGATAGGGTTGTAATTTTTCAGTGCCAGTAGAACGATGGGATAGCTGGTCTGCTATGATCGGTGCACCTCGAAGATGTAGGCGGTGAGCGGGTTACACCTTGTAAAATGCAGAATTTTTGCCATTTACTAGGATTATATCGTTCTTGGACGAATGCAAGTGGGCCGGTGTGTGGAAGGGTGCATCGCGACCAGCCAGTTCAAATTCTCGAGGTTAGTACACAATGCAGCAGGACAACCGCCCATCAGAATAAGGCAGAATTTAAGTGGGACCGTGACAGTAATTAATATTACTTGGTGGTATCATGTACAGGTTATCTATTTTTTAGGTAGGCAAATTTGATCCTGCCAATCTGTGTTCAGACCAATAAATAAACATTCCTGCAAGCTTACAAAGAAACAGCACTATATTCTTTCTCATTTTGGTTTTCCTTTGCCATAATTGAGCCTCACCGTCAACACAACAGGTTCTTTAATGGCAGAATAATTAACTGGTACTAATGAAAATATGTTGCAATGATATAAAAGCTCATTTAACAGTGACAGCACTAGCAAATTTGGAGCTATCTTATAGGATTGGATAGAGGGCCATGATCAAAGAGGGTCTTCGAGTTCCCAGGTCTAGGAGTGAATGGATGAGTTTTGGTGATCGTGTGAATTTTAACACAGCTCTCTAACCCCCTCTAAGTTACCAGAAGATGCGATTACAATACCAAGTATTCGTTGTTGTTTGTTATCAAAGGTGCAAAGTCCATCTAGAATAAGTTGGAGCACCATTTTCGAAAGTAAAGTGCAGAGTCCCTGGTCTTCGCTGAAGTGGTAATAAGCCAAAGCAGCACAAAGGAACATATATTATTAACGTAGAGAAAAGACTGAAACACTCTAGTTGGTGGCTTATGCTAAAGGGTTAATTAAGTCCCAATGTCGAGTAAAGTGAAAGGCTTTGTTCTAAGTCAGCTCTATTTTAGTTCAGACATTGTACTTTGTTGCAGAAAAAGAAGTTTTTTTATGGCCACTACGTGGCAAAACAAACTTTTATGACTTTTCGGTCCAACTTTGTGTACACAAACGCCTTACAAGCCATTTTTGCTGTTTTCATTGCCCAAGTGATCTCTCCTTCTACAAGTTAATTGCATAAAAAGCCTTCTTATTTCCAGTGAAATGATGAGTCGATTTGCTTGGCTAAATTTCGCAGGACAAACCATGACATTGGCTGTTTGCCTGACTACAACTACTCGGGTGGTAAGTGGGCAGCGCGGACCCACCTCGTGCCCGTGAAGGCGCCATCAACCCACCAGGGCGGAGACAGACACAGCTTCCCTCACAACCACCCACCATTCTCCTATATACAGTAGCTAAATCGAGAGGTAGATTGAGAAAATAAAGAAAAATATTTACTAAACAATGAAACTAAACTCATTGCAGTGACCTATGCAACAAGTGTTAGGGGCTGAGCTTGGACACCTTGCATTCTTGGGTAACTTGGCAGACAATTCTCTTAAGATGAGCAGTCTCCCTTCCATACCTTTACATATAATCAAGTCTCTCCAGGTCACGCAATATCACAGACCCCTACGAAAGCATCATGAACTGTTGTTGACATGTGTGACCTCGGATACGAATGGCACCGAGGCTAATCAAGAGGGTAGGAACTTCAGAACAGAGGCCACTAGTATCAGCAGCAGCAGCAGCAGCAGTCCCTTCGGGTACTGCTTGTGTGGTAAGTAACAATGTAGTCCCTTCTTCCGTTCTTACAAGCATTTGTATAAATTCGACCAGTCTTGGCCTTGCCGAGAATGACAACGCATTTAAATTTCCGTCTTTGAGGCATTGAACAAACAGGAGGAAGTAGGAGGGGTGCACTTTAGGGTGCCCATGAATTACAGGGGGTCGCTGTTGTGAGACTCACAAATCGACCCAAATTTTTTGGTCACATGATGTAGAAAGTGGCGTCCGCATTTGGCTATTTCATCACCATTATTGAACCTAACGTGGTACCAAATTAACTGGCACTTTGGCACAACTGGAAAATTTTATTTAGTGTAATATCATGTAGAAAGTGTAAAAGGATGTAATTCAGTCATATTTGACAATCTCGGTTAATGCCGTGGTTAGCTGCCTTTCCTTACAATATATTAGATTTGGGCAATTCTTTTTAGCTACCTTTTGTTGTTTCTAACCCTGTCCGTCTGAATTTGCCGTATATCCAACGCACTGGACAAGCTGCTCCAGACAGCTTTGTATGACCTAATAATTCAAAACCATGTTAATTTTGTGATATGGAACGGCAAGGAGTGGAGTGACAACCGAACAAACAACCCGAAATATGCTCTCGTTATAACCAAATGACAGCGGTACAGTCGTTCCCTGTTGGTCCTCGGAAAAGCCTTTGTTCGAGGTATTAGTGGTGACAAACAACCCTCCACCTCTGTTTGACGCACACCGAAGGAAGGAAGCACGGCTTACAGCTGCTTCGGTCTACTAAGGCACGGGCTTTTTTAGGTTGACGGCCTGAGCCCTGCATAGCATTAGTCCAACGAAAGCTTTGGTGACGACCTTTTCAGCCATTCAAAAAAAAGGTCAGCAACAAATTTCAACTCATAGTTTTCGACTAAAATCGTGGCCACAACCATTGCCGCCTGTGCATTTCCTCCCCCTTCTCTAATGTCCAAGGATTTATTTTTTAGTTTGAAAATGGCAAGTAGAGGCAATGGTAGTGTGTCAGGCCACTTTCCCACTTGAATTTACTAAAGTGCCACAAAACTTGATTTACCGTCACCTCAGCATCTGTTTAACCTCCATTCCCTTTTTGGTCATTATGGAAGTTTGCGGTACTACACACCACGACTATGCTATCTGTTACAAGTGAGACGAACTTCAACAAGCATCAACCGAATGGTTAAAATAACTGAATTGAAATATCCAATTTGGTGAAAACATCGCTGATTGATAGTGCAAAAATTCCCACTGATTGCATTTGCAGCAGTCTAAAAAGTGAGACCAAGATTAAATGACACTTGTTTAATTGAAGGGGGAAAGATAGGCGACTCCAGTACTTTTTTTAACACGCTAGATGGTCGCACAACCTGAAGAAGTGGCACCCCTCTACAGTGGCAATGGACGAGATGACTTAGTGATTCATTGAGCACTCAAGGATTTTTTAAAATGAATCTATTAAAGAGCATCCTGCCCGAACAACATGATGATTGCTTGCCTTCGTTTTGTCTCACCAAATCGAAGGAGACACTGAGGGCACTGAGGACCGCCAGCATGTTGAGCACACGTACGTGATTATTAATTTTGCGTTTGAATAGGTGTCGAGGATTGTATATTTAGCTAAGACTGATCCACGTGACCATGTCTTCAAGGCATACTCCCCACTTACCTAAAGTAAAGGCGCGAGGTGCATACGGTCGTCTACCGCTACCTGCATGACCGTATTGACACTCAGAATGGATCATGAAGCTGAACCCAGGTGCCCATTCTGAGTGACTTAGAAGCCCTCCTTGAACGAGTTACGTGGGGGAGCTTATGCCAGGCCTTAATATTTGAAGAACCACCACTAAGCTAGAATATTAAAGTTGACATTAATAAGTCATCTATTTTAATGAACTGGAATCACCTCGCCTCCTTCCACTTATTTATAAACACTGCCATTCTTAATAATTATGGCCATAGAATGAGCCACAACTTTCATCTCGTCTTTCCCGGGTGTTTAGGCGGTAGGAAGTTGTAGGAGAGGGTTGATGAAACATTATGTAAAAATTTCAAATTGAGCTGAAAATTCCAAGTGAGCAGAACCCGCGCCAGAGAGCTTAAAATGTGTCTGAGAATTAAGTGGTTTTGATCAACTGTTTTTATTACCCCTATCCTGTTGCACCAACAAAATCACCCCTTTGTGGGGCCAAAATCAAAAGATGTGACATCACCGAAGGCAACATCAAGGACAAATTACCAAATGGCCGTTTCAATAATAACTTGAAGGCTTATTCCAACTATGAATTCTTCTTTTATACTATGCTTTATCTACCCAAATAAAAAACTGACCCTAGCCAACGCCTTTTATGTCCCACTTTTATTGTCGAAGCGGTTTTTAGACGAGGAGGAAGCGGTGTTTCTCCCACTCTTCTATCCCAAATAATTTGCAAATATTCTCAGTTCCAGGGCTTTTAACATCACGTCTCAGATGCTAAAGTTTGATTTTGCTTCCACTTGATGCACCAGTCAGAGAATCGTCCTAATTCCAGAAGAGGTCTTTGCAGTGCATGTCTGAGTTACATCGAGGAGATAGATCTCAGACGCACCCATTATTTTGGCCCTCAACAAATAGATAAATGATTTACGGTGATTGCACACAAACGAATCAGAATGCTGTAGGAATAATGGGGTGTGTAACGGTTATTTGGATATTCATCTGTTTAGCAAGGACTTCATTCGACTATCACGAAATCATTGCCATCACGAGTCATTAGGGAAAATTTAATTATTTGCTGGCAGGTTCGCCACCAGGGTCCACCGCATAGGGCGAGTTTTTTGTTATTTGGAAATGACACTACCATGGAGACCGTCGAGTTGGCTATCCCCAGGACAAGAAAATCACCGTTTATCTACTTCACTGGCTTAGCCTGATTGAATCTGATCGCAGAATGTAGTTACCATAATCTGGTAGTGAACACATATGAGACGTACGTGACTTCAGAATTGGATGAGATGTGAGGGCCGTAGCATACATGTGACGCTGTGGCTGACTGTGGCAAGTACCACATTCAGACACATCAAAGTGCTTCTGCATTGCCTATTTTATAGAAATAGACTCTCTTAAAAAGGACTGGTGCACAAAAGCAACCTTTTGTTAGAGGAGCACTGACCACCTCTAGATTGCACAACCTGGATACATGCAACTCCATTGCCTACCTTGCAGACCTTCATGAGGGGCTGAGAAGCCATCATTTTGATATCCCAAATTAGCAGTTAACTTAATTTCACTCAAAGACCGTTGGAAAGACACTTCCAACGGGGCAGTGACCAGATAGGAATAGTCTATCTTGTATTTGCGCAGAGATTCTTAGCCATCCGCAGCTTCAAAACTCGCCCGCCTGTCAATTTTCAGCTGTAATGCATGGGGTGGAATAGCGGCGCCATGGTGAGATATCCTCGACCATTCCAGCCCCTTATGGAGAATCTCGTGGCTCCTGTTTGTGCCTTAAAGGAAGCTGACACCTAAATGGATGACCACTTACCAAGCCGAGCCATAGCGTCAAGGGATGCCGGCTGTGAAGTGCGTTCCCGCTACCGAAGTTCCTAATTCTGCTCCAGAGCAGTTAACAAATCGAAGGGTATCTAAGGATGTCTTTCTTTACTTTGATATGTTTGAGTTAGCAAATCAAAATTTTACTTATAAGTATAGTCCTGCCTGTAGCTGCGGTTCTAAGATTTGGGAAATTTTGCTGCGGACAAACATCTTATAAGTTCGTGGTGCAATAAGTCATGAAGTACATCATTAGTGCCTGGTATGGAAAAATGTCCTCTTAGTTGTGAAGACTTGATAAGGTAGGGGTAATTTGATGTTACGATTTTATGCTGCTTTAACAAAGGAGGCGAAATGATTGCTGGTGAACATGATGAGGAAAGTTTGTGCAGTGACTTAGGTTTGACTTAGGTACAGATCACATTTTTAACGTTCTAATGGTTCTCTATCCTCCCACATTTCCAGCTTTCTAGGACTTCTAGGAACTGCTGTGCTGGGGAGTGAGTCCGGACAAAATTAAGAGTTAAACTGCAATAATCGAGAAAGAGGTCTTTAATGTGGACTAACACGTGAGTCTCCATGTCTGGGTAATACATCTGCTAAGCACACGTGTGGTTCAACTTTCCAGTCATTTTCATCACTTCGGATGGCCTCTTAAAGCTTGTCCGCGTGTTACAGTCATTAATCAGGAGGATATAAACGACAGTGTAGACAATTAAACGTTCAAAGTGTTTTGAGAATCCACTCTTTTACCACTTCAGTAGCATTAGTAAGTCTCGTTTTTGCCCTTTGTTTGTAGCTGAAGTATGCCATGCCTATACTATACCAGTGCCTCATCGAGACCCATCCCTCGTCCAGCAATCAGGAGGTGCTCCTACACTCCAGTCAAAAGAAAAGACTACAACAACACATAACTACCAGATGCGTTTGCTTGCGATTTATGATCCTTTCCACTTCAAGTCGACATTTTCCATCCCAAAACAAGTGAAACCAAACCCAGTAGCCTCTGTCTCCTAAACTCTTATTCCATCTCGCATGAGAATACGCGATTGCCCAACATCAAGCGAAGATGACTGGCAATGCTTGAATAGGCACGAAGGAGGGGAGTATGGAGAATGAGTCAGTATCTTTCCCCTCCTCCATACCTTTCTCCATTCCATTTCAATTGTTTGGATTTGGCTGTTTCCGAGATAATAGTTTTTCTTACACAATTTTGCGTAACATCGTGCAGAGAGACCTCAGTTGTAATTGGTTGGCCTTCAGTTAGTGAACAAAGCAGGAACTCTTTACCAGAATGAAGTGTAGAATGCCTAGTGGCTCACTTTAAGGCAACCAGTGTTGTGTTCGTTCGCCTAACAAAGGCCTTACCTCGTCACAGGACGGAGAAGAAATAATCAGCAAACTGTTCCTTTTACGAGGCGAAGGAAGTGAAGTAGAAAGGACATTTTCATTATTCAGTTAAGTAGTCTGCCAGAGCTCCTGATAATGTCAGTAGTGAGGAAAGACATTCTAGTAGTTGTAGCGTCAGCTGATGTGAAGAAATAATTGCAACTGCATGGAAAATGGACAGGCAGAACAATAACTTGTGTGTTTAACACTCCCTTTCTTATATCCCCCCTGGAGGCCTCAAAAGTTTGGCGATTCTGGTCAAAACGTGACAAAGAGAGAGGGCTTGAAGGTGCTGTTACCGGATATAACACCAGGTTGGAGTGCTACAACACCGAAGCGACGGCAAGCATCTGTGGGTATTGATGAGTCTACAGGGTCAGACTTTGATTTTCTGCTTTTAAATGGAAATCAAAATGCCAAAAGTGCACTGTTGAAGGCCAGGATGATCGGATTTCACATCCATCAAGCAAATGCAGCGATGGAAGCAAAATGAAATTAAGCACCCACATGCATCACACCAATTCTTTTTACTTTTCTGTCACTCTCCAAGCTTGTAAGCAGTGCAATAAAGTTTAAATTATTTTATCTACTTCTGAATGAATTACTAAGTGGAGAGCTGCAAAAAGAATACAAAAACGGATTTCTTCCTAACAAATGTTAGGGCTTCAGAAATATTAGTGGTGCAAATATAAAGTTAACCGACTTTTCGAACCGTGTGAAAAGCAAAAATCCCTAAAATTGGGATTTAGGCAACTGCATGGGATTTGACCTCTCCACTGCTTGCAATCACCTCAAACCCACCAAACCGTGGTGGAGGACCGAGAAGGCAGTTTGTCAAACATCCCAAAAGGCAAAAAACTGCTATCCTACATTTGTCCTCAGTTTCCCCTCTTTCAAAGCATAACTGATGAGAATGGATGTTGTGGAAGAAAGCTGCAGACACTACTGCTGTCCACAAGTTGGGTGCCGTAAAAGACTTGTTTTGTTTCCACAAGCGGTGACGAAAAGGCTAAATTGGGAGGAAAAATGACTGAACGGAGACACCAAATTTGTGGCGATAATAGCTGCGGTGGTGCTGTGCACACCATGGGGATCGACCTTTGGAAGTGATGGTAAACATTCCACGCTCGGTAAAAGGAGCTATTCTAACGCACGTCTATAGCGACGAATGCGGTGTCAAGAGAAAGACTGTAAAAGCTGATTAGGTCACTTAAGTGTGTGGGAGGAAAGAGGATGTGTCACGTTAGTTGACCCCGCCCCCTCTGTCGTGTGCCATGAATCTCATTGTTGCTACGGGGATGACTACCAGAAAACTTTTGTAAACTGGAATAATGCAAAGTTATTAAAGGCATCCTTGTGCGTGATGTGATACGTTTCACTTCGATTTCCTGCATAGCTAGGCCCGGAGTAGGTACTACACATTCGCAAATGGGATGATTCTGAAATGACTTCTGCACATCTACCACTTAAGTTGATTCTAACGGCAAGGGAGTCTCTTTTGAGACTTGATGAGCCATTTTTAGACCTACTCTGCCACAATGGAAAATTAAGGGGCAAAAGCTGACATTTACACGGGATCTGCGATTAACCATAACTCGCTGTCCTCAATCCCCTAGTCCAATCACCCTTCAGAAGTGGAATACTTTTGATGGCACAGTTGACAGCATGATGCTAAGGCCAACTGAATTGTGAATCCCATCACCTCTACCCTATTCATTGCTCATCCACACCGTACGTAGCTTACTGTCAGGCAAAAGTTGGAATTACTCTCGCTTTTCCTTTGTATCAAAGAGGCGAATGTTATTTCATTCTCACGAAAGATAATTAGGTGGAACTCAGATGCCATGAGCTAAGGAGCAGGAGTGCGTTATTTCGTGCATGCCGCTTATTATAGGAGTCATCTAGACTTGGGCAGTTGCTGACCTGGTTCTCGGAGTGTGTAGTCCCAGACGCCGACCCTATTTTTTCCTTCACCACAGCAAAAACAACAAAGACGACGATGATGATAGCTTCTACCTCACATTGACACTACATCTGTCTCCTCCGTACCGGCAGACGGAGGTTTCAAAAGTGGTGTTGTGAGCAGGGTATGATGATGAGGGACATGCTTGTTTATAATGCACTTCCTCCTCCCCCTCCTTCTCCTCGTTGGCAGACGACCTCTAGTCCACAACGGGATGCGTGTTTCCTGCTCGCGTCTTGCTTGAACTACGTGTTCAAACAAGTCCGTACTACACCTGTAGTTTACAAGTCAAGATTGTTTGCAACTGGCATTTATTGCTTATCTTGATCTTTTTGCAAAAAGGCGATTTTCCCGCCTATTGGAATGTCTTATGGTGCAGGAGAATGACCACAAAGAAGCAGTTATTTTAAACCGACGATTGTTTGTGAGAAAAGGACTTAATAATGCCTGATTAAACGGTTCTGGCCGTTTTAAATACCGTGTATCTCCCAGCTGTATCAAATAGGTCGGTCTCATTTATATTTGCATTAAGCTCAACAAGGTATTCGCAATTAATAATTTTGTTTGCAGTGCATCAAATGGCAGGTAGGCATGGCGTCTCAAAGAAAAAGTACCTCACTCCTTTGAGTCGTAGAGTAGTGTGCGTGGTGTGTGGAGCGCTTTCAAGAATAATAAAAGATGTGACTGTTTGCCTGACAAATGTTGAAACATGAATTTCACTCCCCATTGCAAGTCTTTCCACCAGCTAGGGATCTAAATGCAACGCATTTTGCAAAACATCCACAATGGTCTGGGAACATGTTGATAATTGTCGTGGCCTTTTTGTCTGTCATCTGTTAATTCATTACATTTAGGTGGTCTTCATTTGTCCACCTTCCTCTACCTTCACTGCTCACTCGTCTTATACTCAGGCCTCCAGTTATCTCAATCAGAAGCGGGACGCTGCTGTCCGATAGACGGAGGTTGAGTCCTTTCGTCTTATACAAGAGGTGATCCAAGTTATTTGAACATTCTAGTAAGGTAGATGGTTGAAGTGTTAAAGATCACCACGTCTTCACTCGAGACGGTGGTGGTAACGCCAAATCTACCCACACGATTGCACCTCATCAACAGCGAGAATGTCAGTCAGGGGTAAACGCTCTTCGACTTGAACCGAAAGTCAACTTCTCGCAATCAAATCATCACCAATGTCCGCTTTTATCGCAACGCACCATGACACAAATGCGTCCCGTCTGCTTCCGACATTTCAGGTGCCATCGCCAACTTCAAGCTCATTTTGAAGCAGAGCATACAGGCGCGTACCTTCAAATGCCTCGCATTTCAACCCTCATTTTATCTGGCCTTCTAAGTTGGCATGTTCTTTAAGTGAGCTTCTTTGAATAGCATGCCTGTTCTCCCTTGCCAGAATTGGGACGATTCGCATGCATTTCTTGCAGATGCAGCTACCGATTCTTTCCCTGCCTCCAGAACCACAGGAAACTCTGCCGTGGGGAAAAGTCAACTCAGCTTTTTGATTTTGAGCAAATGCTTTTGGATATGAGAACCCCATAATAAACTCTCTTTTAAACATAAATATCGAAAGATGAATACATTTGTTAGATGGGTGAATTAGTCAACTATTCGTTCTTTTCATTCCTGCAAAATCGAATCTTGCACCAATGCTGACACTTTGATTCCTTTTTAGGGCTGCTGACCTGCTTGAATGAAAAGTCCACACTGATGGACTACTTCTTCAGTCTGGCTGTGGAGTCACAGCGAATGGGTGGGTTGACCTCGTCTTGCCATAAAATTTCATCTGATCGAGCAACACCTCACAATATTTCTTGGCAGAATTTCAGCCTGCCTCTTTCATACCCGAATTCTCTCCTGCCTCAGCAGTACTGAAATTTAGTGCTCACACTCTAAAACTACCCTTTTCAAAAAGATTTCCCTTTGTTGATACCCATGTTCTGTTTCTTCTTCCCATTCAGTGCAACTTGAATTGCCAGAATGCTTAAATTGTGGTTGGTCTGACTGTACAAGGACTTTTGCGGTAGCACACATAAAAGGTAAGGTAGCACCTTCACTGCAGTTGAGGCTTGCTTAGTGGGATTGTATTCAACAACCTCACCTCTATCGCGCCCTGCTATGCACTATTTCCCATTCATCTCGTCAAGGCGTGGAGGCAGCTGACGGTGAGGTAAAAGGGTGCAAGTCTAACAAAAGTGTTTTATTTCGCCGTCACAGTAAATTTGAGCAGTGCATTTCTTCGCCTTTTTTCTAAATGAGGGAGGAGCAACGTTTGTAATCTCCTTGGTGAGGGGATGAGATGTGTATTAGAGTTCGAATGAAACGTGTGAGTGGCTCAGGTGAAAAGCCAGCATCCTGAGACCTTCATCTAGGAGTTTATGATGGAAGAATACCCTATCTATAACTAGGAGTGACTTTCATTAATGCCAAGCTAAAACATTCCATGGTAGCTAAAAAAGCGGTGCTTAAGGGAAGATAAGTACACCATATTCTGTTGGGGTAAAAACAGTGCGATCTTGGACATTGTAGTCAATTCTTGTCGGTAATATTAGTGGCGAGAGTGTTAATTCTTGCAAATAGGCAAGTTTTCCTTGCACCCACTGGGATCACATCATTCTGGATGATCGCACGTGGGTCGATGGGTGGACAGCAGCAGTACGGGCACCCATGTGCGTTGACTATGGTCATGTGGGAAGTTTCAGTGATTCAGGAGGGCAAATTCGACCATGACCTTCCACGAACCGACCAATGAGTAATCAGGTCTGTAGGTTTGGACACAATCAGTATTATCTTGGCTTTCCCTTGCCAAAACGGAGCCTCACAGGGGCCAAAATTACTTCTTT